TATCCATAATTGTGAAAGGTATATAATCTGTTTTTCTTTTTTCTTTGGTATGATCTTTAATGTTGAGGTCATATATGTATTTTAATTGATTACTGAATGTGGTATAAGATTTTGGCTGAGTCATAATTTCTGCAAAACTGCTTTCCAGTTTTCCCAGAAGTTCTCATCAAATAGAGGTGAGAATTTTAAAAACTAATTTAGTTTTTCAAGTTTATCGAACTTGGGTTTTTGAGAATGTTGATTTCTTTGCCTAATCTGTTCCACTGATACATTTTTCTATTTTTTAACCAATACCATAAGTTTTTGATGATTGCTGTTTTTTTATTAATTTATTTTAATTTATCAACAATCACTTCCATAAGCATTTGTTTTAATTTTTTCTCTCCCTCCCCAAGACGGTATGCAATGTGATGTAGGCTATACATATACAATCCTATTAAACATATTTTCACATTAGTGATGTTGTAAGGAAGAATTAGAACCAATAGAAGGAAGCACAAGAAAGAGAAAACAAAACAAAACAAAACAGAAGGAAAAAATAGCAAATAGTATGCTTTGATATGCATTCAAACTCCATGGTTCTTTCTTTGGATGTGGATAGCATTTTCCATCAAGAGGCCTTTGGAGATGTCTTAGATCTTTGCATTGCTGAGAAGGGCTAAGTCTATCAATGTTAATCAGATGATTGCTATTTGGAGGTGGATAGCACTTTACATCATGAGTCCTTCGGAATTGTCATGGATCATTGTATTGATCCCAGTAGCTAAAATTCTCACAGTTAATTATCTCTACATTTTGTTCTAATTGTATAGATTGTTTCCCTCATTCTCTTCACTTCATGTTGCATCAGTTCAGATAAGTCTTCCCAACTTTTTCTGAAACCATCCACTATATCATTATCTACAGCTTAATGGTATTCCATCACTCTCATGTACATTAATTGCTTTAAACATTGCAACTAGGTGGTTCAGTGGATAAAGCACCATCTCTGAAGTCAGGAGCATTTGTGTTCAAATCTGGCTTCAGACACTTACTAGTTGTGTGATCCTGGGAAAGTCACTTAACCCTGTTTGCCTCAGTTTCCCCATCTGTAAAGTGAGCTGGAGAAGGAAATAGCAAACTTCTATAGTATCTTTGCCAAGAAAACCCCAAGTGGGGCCTTGAAGAGTCCACCTCCAGATAGAGACTTGATAGTGTCAGAGTAATATAGATTAAAGAATTTTTTTTCTTTTCTTCATTTTTCTTGCTTTTTATTTTTTGGACATGGCTAATGTATAAATATATTTTGTATGACTTCATATGTATAATGGGCATCATTTCTCTTTCTTTCTCAATGAGTGAAGGAGGGAGTAGAGAGAGGGAAAGAATTCACAACTGAAAATAAAATATGATAAAATTTAAATTAAAAAATAATTTTGTTTCTAAAAATAAAAAGAATCCTGGTGGAAAGTGAGGTCTGGGGTACAGGATAGAATAGTTTAGTACTTGGATAATTAACAATGTATTGAGCTAGAGAAAAAGTGTCCTCATTTTGCTATTGTCAGTTGTTCTTTGGGAATACATGTGTCTTTATGTCGATCCATGTGCACTTGATCTTACCCTCCATCTTCTTCTGAAGTTCCTTTGGCTGGAGTAATCCTGTGATCATTGACCTGATTGCTGTCACTGACTACATCTGACCCTAATAGTCTGACTGAGGCTGAGTAAGAAGGATCAGCAGGTATGAGAGGGCCAAAGAAAGGGAAGTTGGAATGTGCCAAGGACAAATATCACCTACTTTACAGTTTTGCCTGTTTTTGGATGAATCTATGGCTCCTAGTACTGGGAAGAAGAAGAATGTTCCAAATGCTTAAATCACCTAGAAGGCCCAATTGTAGACATGACTATAAGAGGCACAGCTTTGGAGGAAAAAATAGTGGAATAAAATGAATCATCCAAAAGAAGGAGTCAGCCCAACATGACAGAAATGGCCTGATGGCTGATGAAGTTTCTGCTTTTCTAAAGACTAATGTCTCCTTACCATCATCAGCACCTAGAAAGTGACTGAGTTAGATGAAGTCAATCCTGGCCAATTCCTGTGCAACGTAAAATGTCTACAGTAGTGCTCTAAATTCCACCCTTCATATTGCATGTATGTGTTATTCCCGGGGGCACTTGGAGTCCCAGACCTTTAGTTCCTAAACCAAAAATCTTTCAAGGTTACCCTGGGCCTTCAAAACCCTCATCCAACAACAGTTTTATTTATGGGTCCTGTCACCAATGTGTACGGGCCATGTGGTAACCATGCAAATAGCACTGTGGACTATATTTTATTTTAAGTGTCCAGAGCACAAAGATTATGTTTTAAAAAAATATTTTATTGATTTTTTTTTCTCTACTCACCATCTCTTCTCAATGCTTTCCCTCCCCCTCCCAGCCCACTTGAGCATTCCATAGAACAAAGTGCAATAAACAAGACAATACAAAATGTTGGCTAATTCTGAAGGTGTCTGCCTCATTCTACCCTAGAGTCCATCACTTCTTTGCTTGAAGCAGGAGGCATGCCTCACTGGCTGTCCTCTGAAGTCATGTTTAACTCTGGACTGATGAGATCTGAAGTCTATCAGTGATTGTTTCCTTCACCTTGTTGCCCTGCCACAGATCTTCCTGAGAAATGCTGTCCTGTCCACTCAATGTGAGGCATTCAATTACACTTGTAGGTGTCTTGCACAATGCCTGAATGCCTTTTATTCAGGGAAACACCATATCTAGAGCTCTTTTCTTTCTTTTTTCCCTTCCCTTTCTACCTCTTCTTTTCTTTGTTCCTTATTTTAATGATTCTCCTTTCCTTTCCTATCCTGTCCTGTTCTCTGCTTTGTTTTGCTTTCCTTTCTTTTCCTTCCTCCCTCCCTCCCTTTCTTCCTTCTTTCCTTCTTTTCCTCCCTTCTCTTCCTTCCTTTCTTACTCCTTCCCTACCTCCCTCCTTCCTCTCTTCTTCCTTCCTTCCTTCCTTCCTTCCTTCCTTCCTTCCTTCCTTCCTTCCTTCCTTCTTTCCTTCCTTTCCTTCCTTCCTTCTTTTCTTCTTCTCCTTCTTCTTCTTCTTCTTCTTCTTCTTCTTCTTCTTCTTCTTCTTCTTCTTCTTCTTCTCCTTCTTCTTCTTCTCCTTCTCCTCCTCCTCCTCCTCCACTTCCTCCTCCTCCTCCTCCTCCTCCTCCTCCTCCTTCTCCTCCTCCTCCTTCTCCTCCTCCTCCTCCTCCTCCTCCTCCTCCTCCTCCTCCTCCTCCTCCTTCTTCTTCTTCTTCTTCTTCTTCTTCTTCTTCTTCTTCTTCTTCTTCTTCTTCTTCTTCTTCTTCTTCTTCTCTTCTTCTCTTCTTGTCTCTCTCTCTCTCTCTCTCTCTCTTCCTCTCCTTCCCTACTCTCCTTTTCTTCTCCTTTCTTTCTCTGCTCCACGTAATGCGAAGGCATAATCTGAAGTTAAGGAAGGCACAATTGTCAAACTTCAAATTATTTGCTTAAATGCTGGACATTTAACAGTGGGTATTCCCTCCTCCCCTTCTTTCTCACTCTAATCTGACTTGCAAATATTTATTCATGAAGGAGTGACCATAATACAGAAGGTAAGTGAAGCTTGTTTCCTTCTCATTTTGCTTTCTTCCCATAGCATCCACATTGCAATATCTGCCTAACACAATACTTTCCTTTCTCCTACTCAATGCCTCTCAGACACAGGCATATAACTAGAAGGGCCAAGACACTCACTTCATGGAAATTCTAGATCAGAAGAGACCTTAGACTTCATTTTGTCCAAACCCCCTCATTTTATATTGTCCTGATTAAGTCATTTAACCTCATGGTACTGTAGTTTTCTCATCTATAAAATGGGCATTATTAAACATTGACTACCTATGTCACATTGAGTAAATCACATTGCAAACCTTAAATCACAATATAAATGTGATTTTTTAAATAATCAAATGAAATTCTTTGAAACTGCTTTGATAACTGTCTATAGAAATATGAAGGACCTGAACTCAGTTTTCTCCATTTTAACATTCTCTACTCTGTCCCTACTCTACATAAAGGTGCTACAAAGATGTGGGACACTTTAAACATAATATTAGCTGACATTTATGGAACACACCTTATGCTTGCAACTTACTTTTCTTATATCATTTCGTATGACAACCGTGTATGGTAAGGAGAGCAAATCATGTTATGCCCATTTTACATACGAAGTCAGTGAAGTTCAGAGTGACTTCCTTGAGTTTACACTGCTAGCTAATTGCAAGAGCACTGGGACTCAAGATCAGTTCTTTGACCCCAAGTCCAGTGCTTTTAGCAACCTACTCTGTTGTTTTTCATAAGTATCAGTCTCTATCTGCCTAAAGAAAAAAATGTAACCAGGTCCACCCTGACCGACCTCCACCAGAAATTGTGATCACCATTTATATCCCTGACCCACAGGTTCCACAAGTCCCAGACCTCATTCCCAGCCAGATGTCGTCATTTTCCAGGATCATTCTGTCCTCAGAGGAGATAGAGGCTGTGGCAGACAAGTCAGGGAGGTCCCCAGACTTCCCACCTTCAGCCTTCGCAGAGGGGTAGATAGATTCATTTCTTGCTTTCTCGGTGCATCCCAATTGCCACCCCCCAGCCTCTACGTTCTCTCTGAGGGAGGAGAGCCTCCCACACACACTTACCCTGCCTGTGAGCTTCCGAGCCCAGGAGGGAGATTTTGCAGAAACATATTTTTAGAAACGTAACCACAGGAGAAACAAAACACAGCAGATAGCGGTGTTTTTCTGGGGGCAATTGTGCGGCAGAACATTTGTTTAAAGAGAGAGGTAAAACATTCAACCTTGAAGATCTCTCCCAAAGGGGCGCACATCTGGTTGTATTGCTGGGTTTTACTCCCTCCAGTGGTGAAACTGTAGAAGGCAAGACAAAGACACACCAATGTCTTTTTCACATTGTGGAGAGAATACTTTTAGAATTCTCTTTTAAGTCTTCTAATGGGATAAGAGAAGTGGTGGGGATGTATCCTCCTTTATCATAAGCTTAACTAACTTGTTTTGAGAAGCCTGGAGTCGTGATTTTACAGTAGATGTTATGGATTTGGAATCATAGAATATTAGTCCGAGTCTCTGCTCTGTTACTTAACGGGCTCTATTACTTTACTGACTAAACTCGGACTAATTTATTTTACCCCTCTAAGCCTCAGTTTACTCATGTGTGAAACAGGGTTAATTTAATATTTCTAATGGCCTGACAGGTCAACTGAGTTCTTGGGCTTCCTGTTCCATATATGTGGAAGCTATTATTTTGACCTTACGTGGATGGGATTGGCAAATTAGGAACCACAGCAGATGACCTAAGATAAGCAAGGACGGAAAACACCTTTTCTTTTAGCTAGATACTTACAGGTAAGTAATTATTTGTCTGTTCCTTTAATATAAATCTATGCTAATAGAATTATCATATATATATATATATATAAATCAATTTTTATTGATGCCTTTTGTTCTTAAATCACAGTTATTTCTGGAAAGACTCCCTTTCCTGTCCTAGTGCAAAATTTAACCTTCCTGTGTAACAAAGAGAAACAGATAGGCAAAGAAACCTCAGATAGGCAAAGAAACATGTTATTGGCTCATCTGACAATGTATAAGATATTCTGCCCTATAAGTACCCCTCCAACTTTCTGTCAAAAATAAATCTGTTTCTAGAACTTTTTTTCCAATTTTTATGAATTTAAAAATTATTCAGTATGACTAAATTATAAGTAGAATACTTCAAGAATGCCTGTTACAACAATGGAAATCATTATTGTAATACGTATTTGGGGGGGGGGGCTCTGTTTATTTCACCTTGCCTCAGTTCATGCAAACTTTTCCATGTTCCTAACAGAGGAAATACTCATTAAGGATCTCATTATTGAGGTCAATTCAATTTACATTTACTTAGTACCTACTATCTTAAAAGCAAACATGCAAGGTTAGAACTGGGGGAGATACAAAATTAAGATAAGACCCACCCTTGCCCTAAGCAACTGTGCCAGTTCTAGTGAAAGCAGCCTAAAATGCAAGAGGCTGAAATGCTAGCTTAAGGGCTTTAGAATAATTTGGGGAAAAAATATGTTGATTGTCAAAGATGAGAGGCTTGGGTCCCAATACCGAGGTGGGTTTATAAGCACGTTATTTACAGCCATCTTTTCTGAATGGGCCAGAGGACCTTCTGAGTTCCCTTTCAGTGGTAAGATTCTTTGGGATTTCACCCATCTGACTGCTGCTATAATTAATGGTATATTTAGAGGCCTGATTTTCTAATTCTGAATACTGCACAGATATAGATAAACTCAGATGGATAATTGTCTAGACATACTAAAAGTGACTGACTCCCTGGATTTCTTATACATCCTGGCTTTGGCTGGATATTGTATGGGTAATAGCTGGAGAGAAATTTAAAAAGAAAAGACTGATTAACAAGAAAGAAAAAAAATGTTCTGCAATGTTTGATCAGTTAAATCATGGTCATTTCTTACACCATTTTGAGTCAGACTTGTTCAATTATTGGACTGCATTCATTCAGCACAAGGCATTCCATTTGCTTCCAGTTTAGACCAACTGACAATCGATTCATTATGAATACTTTTGCTTTATGGCTGTCTGGTTTTCCAGTGTAACAGTTTGCCATGTGACTATTCTTTCCCTCCCTACCTTTAAATTCACATCTATTACCTGGCACTCTTCATTCATTATTGTATGAAAATTTGAAAGACTCACTCCTTGCAGGTTTGAGGATAGGGTCCCTGAGCCGGGTGGGGGTGGTAGGCACCAACTTGCACCATGTCGCTTGAAAAGAAACTATGTATTAAAACATTTCCAAAAGCCCTTTACTTTTAAAAAATAAAATAAAATAAAATAACACAACATTTTTCAGGTCTGAATTCTCTCCCTCTCCCTCTTATTACCCCTACCCCACTGAGAAAACAAGAAATACAAAACACATTACAAATGTGTATAATGAGGCGAAACAAATTTTAATATTGGTGATGTCCATCACCATCATCATCATCATCATCGTCATCATCATCATCATCATCATCATAATTTGGCTCAATCTATGCTCTTGAGTCTATCACTTCTCTATCTCAATGTGAATATCGTGTTTGATCATCAGTCTTCTGAAATGTTGTTGGTCCTTGCATTGATTAGAGTTCCTAAGTCTTTCAAAATTTTTGGTTTTTATTATTTTTGTTCAGTCATTTCTAGCCATCTCCCATTCGTCATGATGCTATTTGGGGGTTCCTTGGAAAAGATGCTGGAGTGGTTTGCCATTTCCTTCTCTAGCTCATTTTATGGATGAGGAAACTGAGACAAATAGGGTTAAGTGACTTGCCCTGGTCACAAAGCTAGTAAGTATGGAAGGCTGGATTTGAATTCGGGTCTTCCTGACTCTAGGCCCAGTGCTCTAGTCACTGGCTGTTACAATAGTGTTACTGTTTAAGTTGTTTTCCTGCTTCTCACTGCCCACAAGTCCTCCCAGTTTTCTATGAAACTATCCCTTTAATCGTTTCTCGTAGAAGCGGCTGGTGGCACAGTGGAGAGAGTGTCGTGATTGTTGGGCCTGGTGTCAGGAAGATCTAAGATCAGTTCTAGCCTCAGACACTTACTAGCTGTGTGACCATAGGGAAATCACTTAACCTCTATTTGCTTCTGTATGCTTAACTATGAAATGGGTATAATAGAACCTACCTTGCAGGGTTGTTGTGAGGATGAAATGAGATAGTATTCATAAAAAGTGCTTAGTACAGTGCCTGGCACATACTAGCTGCTACATACATGCTTACTTACTTATTGCTTTCCACCTTATAGAACATTATTATTCCATTACATTCATATGTTATAACTTACTCAGCCATTCCCCAATTGATGGATGCACCTTCAGTTTCCAACTCTTTGCCATCACAAGAAGATTTGGTATAAATATTATTGTATATACGGGGCCCTTCTTCTCTCTCTTTGGGGTATAGACTGGGTACAGGCATTGATGGATCAAGTTCTAAATTGTTTTCCATAATGGCTGTACCAGTTCAAAGCTCCTACAGTAATTCATCAGCTTACCTGTTTTCCAAAGCCCCTCTACTGTTTGTCATTTCATTTTTTTTTTAAACTTTACCAATGATGGGTGTGAGATTCAATCTCGGAGTTGTTTTAATTTGCATTTCTCTAATTATAAGTGATTTAGAACATGTTTATATGTTTTTAATAGCTTGGATTTCTTCCTCTGAAAGCTGTATATTCATATCTTTTTTTTTTTTTACTATTAATCAATTGGGTAATAGTTCTTATTCTTAAGAATTTGAATCAATTTCTTATATTGTTATAGAAATGAAATCCTTAGAAAAACTTGCTGCAAAGATTTACCTGCTTCTCTTCATTTTAGCTGAATTGGTTTTACTTATATATATACTTCTTAATATTGTGCAATCAAAATTGTCCCTTTTACTTTCTGTGAACCTCTCGATCTCTTGTTTGGTCATGAACTCTACCTCTCACAGATATCTGGCAGTAATTTCTTCCTTGTTCCTCTAGTTTGTTTATAATATTACCCTTTATGTCTAAATCATGTACCCATGTTGGAGTTTATCTTGGTATACAATGTGAGATGTTTGTATTTTACTATTTTCCAGTTTCCCAACAATTTTTGTGGAATATTGGGTTCTTTTCCCAGCAGCCAGGATTTTTTTGGTTGATGAAATGTATATTGTGTACCTGATCAGTTTCACAAACTGGCCTCTCTATTTCTTAACCAGTGCCAAATTGCTTTGATGATAATAGTTTTGTAGGATAATTTGAGATCTAGTATTGCCAAGTTCCCTTCCTCTCACTCTTTTTTATTCATTCCCTTGATATTCTTAACATTTTGTTCCTCTAAATGGATTTTGTTATTTTTTTTCTAGTTCTATAAAGCAGTCCATTGGTAGTTTGATTGGTATGGCACTGGATATGCAAATTAATTTAGGTAGTATTGTCACTTTCATTATATAGGCTGGGCCTACCCATGAACAATTAATATTTCTAAATAATATGTACCTGCCAAGACAGAGAGAGGAACTATATAAAAATAATTACAAAATGTTCTTTACACACATAAAGACAAATCTATTATTTATTATACTACAAAACTCAATGTTTTCTTTACTACTTCATTGCTTATGAATTCACTCTTTTTTAAATTGTAATTTTGCCTCCTTTTTAAAAAATCAAGTTACCTAATGGCTTATCTATTTTAGTGTGTGTGTGTGTGTGTTTAAAACAAGCTCCCAGTTTTTATCATTTCTAGTGGTTTCAATCTTTGGTTTCAATTTTTCTAATTTCTTTGATTTTCAGGATTTCTATTTTGATGCTTGACTGGGACTTTTAACTTTTTGGTTTTTAATTTCTTTAGTTGCATGCACAATTAATTTATCTGCATTTTCCCTTTATTATTGAGGGAAGTATTTAGTGATATACAAAATTACCTAATTACTATTTTAATTATGTCCCCCAAATTTTGGTCTATTGTCCCATTATTGTCATTGTCTCTAATAAGGTTACTAACATTTTTATGATTTATTCTTTGACCCACCAATTCTTTAAGATTGTTAATTTCTAGTCAATTTTAAACTTTGCTTCAAATGCAATTTATTTAATATAATTTTAATTGCATTATGGTACATAAAAGATGTATTTAGTATCTTCGCTTTTCTGCATTTTTTTGTGACTGTTTTTATGCCTAAATATATGGTTAATTTTTGTAAAGGTGTCATGTACAGTTGAGAAATAGCTATACTCCTTGCTATTCCCATCCAATATTTTCCAGAGTTCTGTAATATCTAACTTTAAAAAAGAAAAGTTATTCAGGACCTTCCTTTATTTATTCATTTTTTGGGGGGGTAGATTTATCTAGGTCTGAGAGTAGTAAATTGAGTTCCCCCACTGTTATATTTTTATTATCTATTTCTAATTTTAACTAATTTACCTTTTCCTTTAAGGATTTAGATGCTATGCCATTTGGTGCATATATGTTTAGTATTGATACTAATTCATTGTTTATAATACTTCTCACCAAAATGTAGTTTCCTCATTTATTTTTTAAATTAGTCTATTTTTGCTGTTGCTTTATCTGAGATCATGATTGCAACCCCTGACTTTTTTTCATACTTAAGCTAAAGCATAATTGATCCTGCTTTACTCCTTTATTTTAATTCTGTGCTTGTATTTCTATTCCATGTGTTTCTTATAAACAATGTCCTGTTGGATGCTAGTTTCTAATCTATTTTGTTGTCCTCTTCTACTTTATGGGTGAATTTATCATATTCACAGTTACAGTCATTAGTTGTGTATTTCTCTCTATTTTTTTATACTTTTCATTCTCTTTT